CATGAGCTCAGGGAGCTGATTCACGGCTACTTGCTGGTCAAAAGGATGTATTCTCTACTTTCCTTGTACGGGTTGGTTTTCTGGTCACTCAGTGAGTGGCTCAGCCCATGGATAGCTCAGCTGGGCCGAGCATGAAAGTGGGGGGAAGGAGATGGTGCTGGGAGCAGAGGGGGAACGGGGCATCCCCCATCAGTGGTGGCCAGCTCCTGGGTTGGCTCATTTGTCTTGGGGAAAACCTCACTCTTAATTATTTGGCCTTAGTAAAAAATTATGTTGGTTTTGTGTGATCTTCAGCTTATCTCCTTATGTGCACATTAAGTGGATGTTACCACGTGGTTTTTCATTAGGCTTGGGTTTTGTTTACCATGCGCAGTTGCAGCCAGGAAATAGCTGAAGGGTTTTTTCCTCTTTTCCTCCTTAGGAGCTGGCTAAAAGCAGTTACCTTAAACTCTTGGTGTGTAAACAAGGCAGTAACAGGACTTAATACACTGCAATTAAACTGTGGGGCCTAGGACAGAATAAGGAATTGAGTTAATTGCACTTCTTTGTTTCACAAAATTGGGTTTTGTACATTATCTAAGTAGCATTTTGTGTGGGGGAAAGGTGGCTGTTTGCTCTCCTGAGCTGGAATAGTGCTAGATACTTAAATGGTGCTTTTTTTATGCAGAGAAAAAAAGTTAAATACTTTTTTATGTTGTGGTAAATTCATGGTATGTCTTAAGTAGAAAGGTTAAGTTTGCTTTTTTGCCTTTGCTTGTGCTGCTTGTTTTCCTTTGCCTTCAACGTAGCTTTAAAAGCCTGTCTTGGTGAGACTTCAGTGCTGGTAATTAATTTGTCTGTGGAGTAACTGCACATTTCACTGCAGTCAGGAGTGTCACTGTGCTATTTCTCATACCAGTATTGTTCTGAAAATAGTAATGCAGGGAGCTTGCAATAACAAAAACATACTACCTACAACAGAAACACCCTGCTGCTGTTAAGCAATCAGTTTTTAAACTGTAGCACGCATTTCTGGTATAGAGGTGGCACGTTTTCTGAACCTTTGAATATGAAAACGTGAAGTTACACGAGAGACCATACTCCAGGCTGGCGTGCCTATTCTTTGGAGAATTAAATTAATTAAAGGAAAGGAATTTGTTTATCTTGCTTCTCTGTTTGTTCTTGAAACTTTTTTTTTTTCTGCAAGAGGGTTGTCCTCGCAGAGAAATGCTTTTAAGCGTTCTGCCTAGTTAGAAAAACAATCTTATATATGGAATGTAGTAGATTTAAATTGGACATTAATTGATTGTGTGGTCAATGCAGTGAATAAAACAATACAAAGGCTTACACATAAAGCAAACTGCAGGGATGCAGGCTGCATTGACAGAGCTGGAAGTTATATACTATCTGAAACAGAGGGGTTACTATCTCTGCTTATCACAAAAGCCCAAATGTCCCAGTGTGCCTGAGTGTGTGTCAGTGGAAGTCAAATCTCTGGGTGTTTGGCTGAATGCCACGTTGTTGTTTAACGGTCCCTTTGGATTGAGAGCGTCATTCAAGATTTCTAAATGTGGCTGTGACCCCGGTGCTTTGAGGACCTCACATCTCGGTAGGTTCGGCCTGCCTGAATATTGGTGAAATAAAATGCCTGCCTGAGAAGGCTGGAGGTTTGTATGATACTGTTCATGGTCTCTTTTAAGAAATGGATAAAAGTGAGGTTTCTGGGAAGGGAAGATAAAGCCAAGCAGCCCAGCAGAGCACAGAGCTGCCCGTGTACTTGTTGCAATTCAACTTCTTGAGAGTCCTGTGATCTCTTTCTTTAACCACAATCCGTGTTTTTGTCCAAGATTTGCAAGGCAGCCAGGTGCTGGTATTGTGAATCAGTTATCGTTTGACATGATGTAAGGCCTGATCTTATTTACAGAAAATGTCACTTGATGTTGTTCCCCTTTTTTCTCATGTTGCAGATGTGGGTGGTGGCAGCTCTTTCCAGTCTCACACAGATGTTGTCATTGTCTATTGTGCACACACAGGGTGCTGCTGGGGGTAGTTTTGCTGGGCTGAAAAAGGAACAGCCTGTCTATGTTCTCCTGCATGAAGTACAGCTTTGAGAGACAAAGGGCTGCTCCTGCTTTTTTTCCTTTTTTTTTTTTTTTTTGACAGGATGTGGCACAGGTTCTTCAGTAACAGAATTTTGCTTCAGGGTTAGTGGGCTCTTTAGTCTTGAGGCCCCAGATGATGTTCCTGGCAGTGCCACTGTGTTCCTTCCAGTAATAAAACTGAAATGGCATAAAAAGTGTATTTATTCCATTTTATATAATAAATGAAATACCTTGAAGCAAAATGTCACCTTCAGTAGTCAAGGGTGTGGATTTCCTTCTTAACGGTGCCGACAGTCTTTCCTGATTTTTCCAAATTGTTTACGAGAAATTCATCCAGGAACTTGCCTGAATTGGGAAAAAACATTTAGTATAACTAGATGCTAGTGAACTGCTATTAACTGATTATTTTTTATTAGATATGCTAGTACATACAATGAAACTTGTGTACGACTTGTGTTTGCACGTGTGTGCATCTGATTTATGCAGAACCTGCAGGGTTTTATGAATAAGGCAAAACTGTAGACTATTTTTAACTTGAGCACTGCGTGGAGGCAAAGCAAGTTTTGCAAACCTAGATACTGGGCACACCATGAGGGCAGTTGTTTGTCTTTATTCTGTGTTTCCATAGGCTGTTTGTGTTGTCCATATAGTCTTTTAGTTTAGGAGTAGCATAGTTCTGCTCCAGAGAATGAGTGTGCAGAGCCATTTTATTGGTTTATTTTCTTTGTATATTGCTGTAATACCAGATTTTGTGATTCCATATAATGTTTTTGTTCTCTCATCTGTTCTGATTCCTGCTGGTTTTGATTCTGTTCTGAAACACAAGCCAAAAATTAAGACTAGCAGTTTTTTGAGCCAGTCCTGCTCTGTTACATGGGTATAGCCCTCTTCCAGGATGGATATGCAGAGTAGTTGTTAAATGCTGTTATTATCAGTGATGATATGCAAGCATAAAAGAATTCAGATTTGCTTTCAGGGCTCATCTTCATTTGGCAGGAGTGGTAATCAAAGGGAGAGATAAAGGGAACATTTAAAATGTTGCTGTGATGATCGAGGTTTGTCTCCATGTTGTAGGGAAATTGTGCTTCTTTTCACACCTGTCTCTTTATAGGGAAAAAAAAATCCTGTGAAATTTTCTTTAAATATTTTTTGAAATGCCATTAAATTTTTTGTTAAATAACAATAAGGAGTGGTGCTTTTCTTAGATGTAGGTTTTGGTTCCACTAGATGTGATGAAGTTTGAGGCATGAAATTCTCTTGTCTAAGGAATAACCTGAGGGCACTCAATCTCTTAGGGTACCAGTCCTGTGCTTGTAATTTCGGTGTTACAGCCCCTTTTTTTGTGCAAATTGTGAATGAGAGGTACTATAATGACACAAATATTATACTGCACGATAAATGCAACAGAAGGTCCTTGTGATCTGTTAAAGAATGGAAATGGCTGGTGGAAAATCTTGTTTCAACTTTCCTGCTGATACTTTTATCTGAAAGTAATTAATTAAAAAAACTACCTACCTCATGTTTTTTATGAGCTGTGTGGAGTCAGCTGCAGGCATGGAACAGTGAGGGATGATCTCTGTAGCTGCTCACCTGAAATCCCCGTTTATGAAAATTTACTTGGCTAAAGATCCGAGTGCTTCTGTTCTTGCCCTTGGGCCAGCCCAACTTGTTTGCTTTAAAAATCAGAGTAACTAAAAAACAGTATTAGATTGGTATTTTTAATCCTTGATCAAAATGCTGTTGAGTAAGATCAGGAGTAACATCTTGGAGTTCATGGTGGATGAGCTGGTATTTTAATCAAGGAGCAAAGTACTGCTACATGTACTGGTTATAGCTGACTTGTTACCAAGTACGTGGTCATTGTAGGGAGATAGAAATTAAACTTTCAGGGTAGTGTCCCTTCTTTGGAATGACAGTGCAGTCTCTGCTCTGCCAGCTCCAGCTGTCTTTTGTGTCTAGCAGAAGTAGCACTGTCAGCATTTTTAATATAGTTTCCTGTTCTTTTCTGTCTAGATTAGAGAGTTTGTAGAAGTGTGCTTTATGGAGTTCACTTACAAGAAGGTTTTATTATTGTTTGGATGTGGGTGTATGTTTTTAGTAACAAAAGATTTATTAAAAAAAGATTTATTCTAGTAATAGTCTTCTGTTTTGTACAAAGAAGCGAATATATGTATGTGTGTGTAAATGCAAATATATGTAAATATACAGAAGAATAAATGTATTTGGATTCAAGAGCCAAATATTTTCAGGGAAGGAAAGTTTGTCCCGTAAGACATGCATTATTTTTTGAAAAAGATACATATCAGAAGTTGGTTTTACAAGTGCTTTATTTACATCTGTGTCACATTTGTCACGCTGTTATTGGTGACAAATTGTATCTCCCATAAAATGAGTGAGGGTGAGACTGTGTTTCAGTATGAAATTACAGTAGTATTGATATGAAAATGCCAGGACATGCCAAGTGTCTTGACATAGGAATAAGCTGCTGTAGCCTTGTCTGCATTGTACTTGTAGGTCTGCACTGAGGTGCAGGCTTTGGGGTCTGCTTTGGGTTTATTATGGAATGAATCTGGATAAAAGCACGTAACCCGGACAGTCTCTGCAGAGCCACTGAGACATGGTGACCTGTGTGTCAGAGACCTCATGTTAGGGAGGCATTTTGCTTGACAGCATTAATTGGACTAATTTATCCTGGTTAGTCTTGCCCAAATGTGGCATCTGTACAGTGTGTGGCTTTGGGTATAATTAATGTGCTCTTTAATTTGTTCCTGAAGGATAAGATGATGGTCTTAATGTGAGCTCTTAGATTCTATATCTTGTGTTTTAAAAGAATTAGAAATACAAGAATTTAAGTTTGTCGTGGCAAGCTCTAGTTCACCTGTTCATTTTTGATGTACCTTTTTTCTCCTCCTTTTCCAGGTGAAGCAGGAGCTGTAGGAGGAAGACAGTGTGGTTTGCAATCATGCCATTCCCCTTTGGCAAGTCCCACAAGTCTCCTGCAGACATAGTGAAGAACCTGAAGGAAAGTATGGCAGTTCTCGAAAAACAAGATATCTCTGACAAAAAAGCAGAAAAGGTACAGTTCTGACTTTCCAGTTGCTAAACAGTATTTGAAAGGGGTGGGGAAGGAGGTGGATAATTTACAGCTGTGGAAACCGAATCAATTAGGAATTATTTTTGGGTTTTATAGCCTGATAAGGGGTAAGTTATGTACCTTTGAACAGGTGTGTTTCATGTTGGTTGGCTTTGCGTTTTTATGCCGCTGGCAGCTGATAACACTACTTAAAATAATTTGGTTTGGAACTGTAGGACATTGCATTCTTTAGGAAGCAGCTCACAGCTCTAGGGTGTTCTGGTGCTTGTGACCACCGGAAAGCCTTTACTATTGCAGGGTAGTTGCTTATCCGTGCAAATGTTCACAGGCAGAGTGTCTCCTACTGCAACCAAAGAGCTTTGTGTCTCGATGGATATCAGCAGAGAATATACTTTGACTTTCCTGCCTTTTCTTCAGCCCACAGGAAGATGTAGTGAAAAGTTCCTGTGCTAGTGCAGCTTCCTTTAGATGGATGTGTTGCTACTTCGGGATCTCTGCCTGTCAATGATCACTTCCTTCTCAACTGGTAGTCTTGATAACTTGGCTGAAAATGATCTTAAAGTGCAGCCTGTGTGCAGCTGCATCCCCCCTAGTGACTTGTGTGACAGAGGTATTCACTGTTTAGATGAAGTTTTTCCTGATGAACTCAGCACAAGGTCATAGGTTTGAATACTTAAAAAACCCCAACAAACCAAAAAAACCCAAACAAAGCATCTCCCTCTCCAATATACCAGCTTTTGAAGCAGGCTGTGATACCCTCCTTGGATCCTCTCCCAGCATTATTTAACTCGTCTGTGCCATTCTTGTTATCCACAGTGCTGTGTAGGAGTTAGTCACAATCTTTTCACGTTCAGTAGTATTTTAAGCAGAATGTGGCCAGTTGCTCTATATTCAGTTTCACCTACTTTTGACACTACTACGTTTAAGTGCAGGAGAATCCAAATCTTAATTAAATTGTCGTCTTTATCCCAAATTCTTTAAAAATCAGCATCTTCTACCCCACTGCCAGCATGTGTTATGTTCCAGGTGTCTTGCAGTGTAGCACAGTATTTTTCCTTGATGCTTTTTCTCTCTTGCTGGAGAGAAAAATATTATGGTATGTTATGCAGGCCTGTGTGAAGGCTTTTCTTCTTTTACTAAAAGAGACATCTGTCAGGAGAGGAGGGGAAGGTGCGTTCTGAAGAGTCTGTGATGAGACATGGCACTACCCCCTTCATCTCAGCCTCACTGTTAATTCCTGGAGATGGGGCTTGATCTTAAAATCTGTGCTCTTTTGTGGCATCTCTTGGTGCTTAGACCTCTAATGGGGGACATCCCACTGTGGATGGCTGTGCACTGCAGCACATGCCTGTGGTCTGGTGCTGTAGCTGAAGGTTATTACGTAGCATTTCCTCTTGCTGGCCTTCAGTCCCACACCTCCATCCTGCTCAGAGACCTGTGAGGCTGCTTCTTGGGCAAGAAACAATGCTCTGAGCCTGTAGAGTGGTTTCTTGTGTCATGCAGAGAAGCAACACACGCTGCTTGAAGGAGTGGAGAAGGGAGCCCTGCCCACCAGGTTAACTGAGAGGAGGGTTAAATCCTGGCATTCAGGGGACTGAGCTTGGGTGTGGTGCTGCTGTTCCCTGTCATCCACTATTCACAAAGGAGAGCAGCTGATGGATCCACACATACACAACACCAATGTCAACACCTCCATATAGAGATTCTTCAGGAAATAATTGTTCCTTGGCAAGCCAAGACTTCAGGAAGGTGCCTCTGGCTGTGACTGTTTATCTCAGATGGTTTGCTGGTGTGGTAGAGAAAGGTCTTCACTATCTTCCAGATCAGTCATCAAATCTTTGAGGGCACAGCTCTGATCAGACACCCTGAATTTGTGTCCTCTTCCTGTCCAGTCTGTTGAAATGGCTGGTGTGACTTTGGAGTTAAAAGACAGCAGGGGTCTGAGCAGCAGCCACTATTAGAAAAGAACAAAGATTTCTTTGTGCCCGTATCTCAGTATTTAGGCATCTTTTTATCTTTCATTATCCCTTTTATTATGATGATCCTTTCTGTAATGTAACTTTTCAGCCTCTTTGGAGAAGAATTCTGTGCTGATGAAAGGGTGAGTTCTGTAGATAGTACTGTAACAGAAATAGGAAAACTCACTGCACATAAAGCACAAAAATTACTGCCTTTTACTAAAAGGGAAGAAGATGTCAGAGTTTTTCTTTTTTAATGACTTCATTTTATTAGTGATTAGACTTGTATAAAATATGGTCTCTCTCTAAGTAATTTCTTCTTTATGGTCTCTGATCCAGTGCTTTTGTAGCCTGTCACATATCAACAACAAAATTTCAGTGCTAAGCAGCCTGGTACATACTCACTGTTGATTTCTCTTTGTGGTAATGACAAGCTTTTAGCAGGGAATACCTACTTTTCCCACACTACTTTGTTTCTTAGAATTAAAATATTGAATTTGCTATGTAGAGGATGCTCTTAGAGAGTTTCATAACACATTTGGCAATACAGGTTTGTAAGAAAATTAGACAAATCATTTTCCCTAGAAATAAGTGTAATTAAGTATGCTTGAACAGAATTGCTTGGTTTTTTTCAGTGCTTAGGCTGAAATTTAAAACCTTTAATGTTTTGTGACAGAAGGAAAAAGCAAAGGAGATAATGATGATTTTTTAAGTTTGGACAGTGTGTGTTCCTGTACATTCTTTATAATCCACGTGGAAGATATTCTTCAAAACAAAAGGTGTAAAACAGTAGGGGTCATGATGCCTCTTGCTCACTTATGAAACATTCTGCCCTGCAACACTGGAAAAAAAATACTGTAACTGAAAATCTGAAATTCAAGTGAATTCTAGTTTACCTGGTATGTGAAAACTGGAGAAAAATTAACCCTGTAGTTCTCCGGGTCATTTTGAAATGCCCTTGAAGTGTGTGGTACTTTCTCAGGAGCTGCAGTCTGAAGTGGCTGCCCAAGCTGGACTGTGCTGAGGGGCTGCCCCGTGTACCACAGCTCTGGGGGCTGGCTGGCTGTAGCCCTGTGCTAGATAGAGGGGACAGCTTGCTGTCTGTTAGCATTTTCAAAGGGAAATGAGATGTCAAGTGCTTTATAACTGAAAATGTGTTCATCACCTATGCTGTTCGTTCTCCAGGACTTGTGTTCTCTCAGAAAGGGGGGCTAAAGGGAAGGGAAAATTCCTTTCGTGTAAGTGGGACCTACCTTTGACCCAGCCCATTAGCTAGTCTTGATTTGCATCTCTTCCCCCTCTTTGGCTGACATCAGCATTTATTTTTACACTACCAGTTAGCTCGGTTTGCGGCACACGTGTACTGTCGTGAAGGTAAATATTTACTCATGTAATAAACTCGTTCTTCCCTATCCTCTGACCTTGGGTTAACCTGCCCAGAGCAGCTCTTGCCATTGCAGGCATGGTTGGCCTCTTATTCCCATCCCCAGCATCCACAGTAGGGTGGGCACACTCTATGTGTGGGGCTGCACCCAATGTAACGTTAGGCCAGGTTTCATTCAGTGAGTTAACGCTGCCATTTACGGAGCAGTCAAACTTTAACTTTGCTGTGCACGTGTGCACAATTAACCCATGGCTGAAAGAGGGCTGAAGGTTAAGTGATCTGCCTGGCCTACAGTGTGGGGCTGTTACTCAAAGAGTAAAGATGAGGCTTCTTCTGGAAGTAAGGTGAGAAGATGTGCTGCTTCTCTAATTGAACTTGACTCTTTGTACTAAATAGCTGCACTGATGTAGGCAGTCATATATTTACAAAATTGTATGTTTTTATAAACATTTTGAAATCCAGCCAATTTTAAATAGAATCATTAAAAAATTATGTTTGTTACTTATGATAGATACTACTCTAGACTAGTGAAAATATTCACCGAGTGTAGGCTCAAAGCTGTATCTGCTTTATCTTTTTGATGGATGTTTTCATTAATTGTGCAGTTGCTGTAACTGCATTATCCATGTGTCTAGAACCCCCAGCCACAGGGGTTGCATAGGCCTGGAGCCTGTCAAGCTCGTTGGAAATATTTTGGGACTGACTATGCTCTTTTTCTACTGTTCATAAACCCCAAATACTCCTGCTGTACAATTCTAAATGAAGTATTTGGTATTTGCACTGCTTACTCTTTAAGGAAATAGTAAATTTTAGAGTATTTCACTTATAGTTCTGGACACCATAAACCATAGCAGTTCATAGGTATAAAGACATGGATCTGTTCTTGTGTAATAATGTGTGCCTTCACGGTATCTGCATTTATTTTTAAGTGTCTTCTTATCTTTGATAAAAATAGGGAAGTAAGTACTTTCCTTATATTCCTTGCTTTACATTTAACTTTCATAGTTTGGTTTGTCCTCGGATGGTGTTGTCTGGCACCATTAAATTTCAGATGTGACTTGCCACAGAATTTTTCTCTAAAATGCTGGTTGCTCCTTCTTAGTGTTGAGAACATACATATAAATAAATGTTAATACCTCTAAAATATAAATTTTAATATATAAAATATATAATATACAGTTAGAGGCTATTTATATATATTTTTATATATATATAAAAATAGCTATTCAGTATATATAAAATATACCCTGCTTATATATAGTATTGGGATGTATTTTATTTATTTTTTACATATGGTGTCTGATTGTTAATTCTACTTTTGACCATGGGTTTTTGGATTAACTTCATTGTGTATTTTGATTGTTCTCTGGAGACTTTTCCTGTTAAAAGAAAGTGGTGCATTAGGAAATTATGTAGATCTCAGTACCTTAGGTAAATCGTGCAAGTAATGCTACCCAGCTTTATCTTTCTTGATTTTTTTTAATACTAGTTTTTTGCTTGGCTCTTAACATTGCTATTTAATGTGGCTTTATATTTTTCAGTGTAGCTATCCACATTCCATTCTGCATCTGAAAGGGCAAAAATAGGTCTGCACATCTTGTGTTTGGGATACGTTTGAGAGTTCATGGAGTATGGAAGAGAGATTCTGGATGTTTGTAGGAGTTTATTTCTATTCTTTTTGATGTTGAGTTTTTGAGTAGAAGAGAAGGAAGTATAGAGATGCAACATTTATGAGATTGTAGCTCATCAGAAGACCTTGGTTATTGATATAATAGTTTCAGAAGACCTCCTATTTCTGTATTTGCAGAACATATCCAGAAATGGTAGTTTGGCCTAAGCTGAAGTGATGCCAGCAAGACTTCGTGATGGAGGTGGTCAGACATTGGTACAGGCTGCAGTGTCCATCCATGGAGCTGTTGAGAGCAGGGCTGGCCCTGCCTGGAGCAGGTGGTTGGTCCCTGATGACCTCCTGAGGGACCTTCCAGCTAAGCTGTTCCATGTTAGGGGCATGGTTTAGTGGTGGACTTGGCAGGGCTCAGTTAATGATTGGACTTGGTCTTAAGGGTCTTTTCCAACATAAATGATTCTGTGATTCTGTTCTATGACTCTGTGTCTCTAGCCATTACTTCCCGCTAAAGCTTCATGTTGTTCCAAGTTCAAGTGAAGGATATGTGGATGGTTTTGACAGTTGTGAAGAGCATTTAAGTCCTACTGTCTATTCTTAAAGTTACCAAGTTGTATGTTTACACTAGGCTAGAAAGCTGCTGCTTTTTTTTTTTTGCTTTTTCTCTCCCTTTTTTTGTTAAAGCCCTCAGTGCTGAGAAACACTGCAGTGTTTTCTTCCTGGTTTGTAAGCATTGCCATCACTAATACCTTTCTTGGGCTGATGGTGAGGGACAGCCCTCAAGTGGGATTAACAGTTTTGGGTTTGTGGGGGCTTGTTCTGTTTCCTGGAGTTTTAGGATGAAAAATTCTCCACTAGCATTGTTCTTAATTACAAGCATTTCCTCAATACCATCATCTTACTTAAAATGGGTAGTTACTTGAACTTCTGCCTTTCTTCCTCTTTCATCTTGCTTCCTACATTAGTGTGCAGGGACAAACTGCAGTAGAGGTTTTATTACTGCTTCTTCTTTTTTTGGTAGCCAGGCATCGAAGACAACTCTTCTAATCTCCATGTTTGACAGATGTTCCTGTTCTTTTCCCGGAAAAGAGACATTTCTTCTGAATTTTAGAGAAATAGAACACTTGTGTGGTATAATACTGCTACAATATGGTGAGCTGGCTTTCCCATTTCATGTCTTCAGGAGCTGTCATGAATCTAAGCAGTCTTACTGAGCACCTGCTTCTTACTGTCTTACTAACAAGTGCACAGAAAATCCTTTGGAATTTCGATTGAGGAGGAGACAACCGGGACTGGGAACTACAGTTAGCAAGAAGAGGGAGGCAGCAGGGATTGGAAAGTTGTGGAGGAGCTGAAGATGATATGGAGCCTCCTTAAAGGTCATGGAATCCTTATGTGCATACCTAGCAAAGCTGGAATGGCTCTGGCTTGAATAGTGCATGGGTCATGCTGTTCTTAAAGCCTCTCCAGATAAAAAGCACAAATGAGAAATCTTCTGACATAATCCTTTGGAAGACTGGCAATATCCAGAAAGTCATCATTTTTTCACTTCATTAATTTTCCCCGAGCTATCAATCATGAATACTTTACATTAAAGTGTATGCATACTTTGTTGGCAGGTTCATCTAATTACTGAAAATCAGTCGCTTACAAGCCATTCGGACTTTTTAGGCACGTGAAGAACTAATACACTATAATTAAACCACCTATTTAGGATGATCATTTCCAGCATTTTGCCCCCAAGCTAAGTAAACATATTGAAAGGAGTGGTTCTTTTTTGGGGGGGCCAAGACAATCGTGCTTTAAGATTCAGAAGTGGGTGTTTAGAAGTGTTCTTGTTGATTTATTATTTTGTTGGTTTTACTCATGAGATAACTGTGTTTCCACTGCTAAATGCTGCTCCAGCTCATCATGGCAGCTTAGGAACTCCTCACCCTGGTTTTCCTAAGTGAGAGGTCAGACCTGTCTTTCTTCTGTAAGATGGACTTGAAATGGGGAAGGATTTTAGACCTTTAATTGTCTCCTGTATGGCCATGCCCTTTTGAGGCGATACAAAGGGGACTGTTTGCTGGTTTGTTCTTTTATACTGAGACAACCTGAAAACTAAAGTAGGTTCTCCCTGAGGTTTTGTTTGCTGGAAAGGAAAAATGTCACCTGCACTAAGTGGAATGGGAGTCCAGTATTTGACAATACCTGATGAGGGCAGAATCTGTAGGAGGGATGCACTTGGTCTCTCTGAGCAGTTCACTAGGGACAGACACGAGTCTCCATGTCATATTTTCCAGTCTGACTGTGTGTAACTCTGGTTTGCAGAATGGAAATTCTGTCGGGTTCTTTTCATCCCATTGCTGTTCTTTAGGGGATTTTTGAATGGGAAGTTGACAAGTGGTAAAAAGGAAGAGATTTTATTTGTAGTAACTTGTCAAATTGTGTGTGTCTTCCCTCCTCTTTTTGTTTGTGTTTGGTTTTTGTTTGTTTTTTTTTTAAATGACCACTGTTATAACAGTCTTATTTGCAGAAAGAATATCTATTGTTTTTTTTAGCAGGTTGTCATTTCCTGATTATTCCTCCCCCCCCCCTTAGTGGAAGTTTGCAGATGTTAAGAATAATGGAGTGTGCAGTTACAAAGACAAATGGCATTGTGCTCTAACTCTATTGTTTTCCCATTTTCTTTAGGCCACTGAGGAGGTCTCAAAAAACCTTGTTGCCATGAAAGAAATCTTGTATGGCACAAATGAGAAAGAACCCCAAACAGAAGCTGTGGCACAGCTTGCTCAGGAGCTGTACAACAGTGGTCTTCTTAGTACCCTAGTAGCTGATTTGCAGCTAATTGATTTTGAGGTAAGAAAACAGGTTTGACATTTCTTATATTCTGTATGTTAAAATAAACACGTCTGAATTCCTACCACTTAAATTGGTTAAGATACAATTCAGTCTTCTGCTTTTATTTTCTGGTTATGACAAATGCATTAGAGAGAGAACTCATTGTTCTAAACTGCATAGAAAATTAAGCAACTGTAGAATATGAAATCCACGAATTTAGGCATATAAGCAACACAAATTTGAAGCAGATAAACCTCTAATCCAATTATACAGTTCTGGTAAAATTAGGGACTAATTCCTAATTGTTGTGTAACAGAAGGGTTAATCTCTTAACAGTAATACCATAGCGAACACAAACCATAATGCTGCAAGACCCATCTATATTATCATCTTGTTAAATTACTTGGAAAAAAGAATTTATAAATTAAGGCTTTTAGTTTTATTAACAGTCTGGTATTTCTCCCTCTTTTTAGAAACAAGTGATGCAACCTTTTTTTCTGTTTTTCTCATCTTTTTTTTGGTGTTTATTAAAAAACCCAACAAACCCAAGTTTTTATCGATTAATTCAAAATAGCAATACTTACATTAAAACATATCTCTCTACAAACCTCTGTGGCATTTGTCACTATGCCACATGGAACAGTTTAGCTTCCCAGTGCCACAGTGAAGAATCACCCTGGTTAGTTGTATATAAGAAGCTGCAGCACAGTTGGATTTTTCTGTTTTCCCTGAGGTCTCACGAGAAGCGTGTGGTTGTCTAGGACAGGAGCCAAACCCCGTGTATCTCACTCCACAGCCTCCACCATAAAGACCATCCCACTTCAGGTTGCTTAAAAACAGGATTGTTCATAAACAAGTTGCTCACAATGCAAACACAACAGTTTAAAGTCCTATTGTAGTTTGACATTCCAAAAACAATGGCTTTCTTCCCAGTTCTTTCTTCTCTCCCCTCCACCCCACCCATAACTCCCTCTGATTTGTGTTTAATTATAATACAGTGGTATTTTTTCCCTATCCACACAACTGTTTATACCAAACATAAAACATTCAAGTTGTTAAATAAGCAAGGAGACCTGGGAAAGCTGAGAGGGAATGCTGAAATGCAATGGCCTTTTTATTGCTGAGGAAAGGAAATCATGAAACATCATCTGGATTCTGCTGACCTCCAGATTTGTATCAGCTTGGTGTTTACCCAGCCCAGTTATGAGCAAAGGAAACCTTCATTATCTCCTGGTAATGAGGAATGATAACAATTTGTGCAGGCTTGCTTTCATTAGGGAGAACTGTGCTTTTTATTCCAAGGGGACTTGAAAAGATTGTGAGTCGTTTCCTGCTTGTGGACCTTCTGCTGCTTTGTTACACGAGGATATGACGGTTCCCCCTTGAGAGAGAAAAGTCATCTGTGCTGCTTTCTAGGCTAGTCTTAGTCTGCTTTTTAAGGATGGGATCTGGCAGATTGTCCAGCTGTTGTTGTTACCTGGAATTAATGTCAACACACCTGTGCTCCAAATGTGCTCCAGCTGTCACAGAGTCAGTGAGATGTTGGCTCTGATACCCCACCACAGAGTCAGTGAGATGTTGGCTCTGATACCCCACATCTTTGAGGTTATGGGTTTGCTGCATTTGAAATGGTTTCTCTATATTACTGATGGAAATACCTGTCTGATTTTCTGTTATTTTTTAAACTTCAAGAGTAGGTCTTGAATTTTTTCCTTCTTTCCACTGCAACCTGAAGTCATTCAGTGATAAAGTAAACTTTTTTTTTTTCTCGAGAACGTCACTAATTTCTGAGGAAGGTTTCCTTGTAGAACAGGAACAGACAGCTAATTAATAGACAGGGGCTGTTCACTCTGACTCTTAAACTGTCTCAAATGTATTTGAATCTGAATTGTTATGGTAAAAAAACCCAGAAAAGTAATATGTGAAAACTAGAAAAGTAACAAAAGTCCAGCCTTTGCTGTGTGTATGTAAAGGCCTGTTTAAAATGATGCCCTTCTCTGGAAGTCTGTTTTCCAAGTAAAGGCGTCAACCTAGCCATCTACAAACTTATCAGTTATCTCCTGGCTGATCTGCACTAGCGTGTCTGTAGAAGAGATGGTATCTCTTGTGGAAGGAAGAAGAAAAGCCAAACCCAAAAATGCCTCTTGCATAAGGGAGGCTGACTCCTTGTGCTGGTAGGACACTGCAGGCACAGTGTCCCTCTCACCTCTCGCAGCCGTGGCCGCTGGCACGGGGTTTGGTGCCTGTTTGCCCCCTCAGGCCATGAGGTCACTTAGCAATGTCCCTGTGACAAGAGCTGCCTCTGGGACTGCTGTGTGCCACCAGCAGCTCAATGATATGCATAATGAGGAAATGCTGTTCTTGCTGGGGAATCCAAAGCAAACTGTGAGATCCAGCCCGGAACTGGCAGTGTTAGTGAGTGATAGCTGATGACTGTATTATGTGGAGTTTGAGGGAAGCGATTTCTAGAAACACTGCTCCACTCATTGCAGAACAAAGAGTTCTGGTGTTGCTTTGGGCTGGCTTTCAATGGAATTGTAATTGAGAAAACAGCGTTTACAAACAATCTCTTATATCCTGAAAACAACACTCCAACACAACTGTCGGTGGTAATTCACAAACACGCCATTTGTAAAACTACAGTCCTCCTACATTTTTATAAACATAAACATTGCATTTTTTCTTACGCAATCCGCTTGACATTGATTAGAAAATGGAAATAATTTTAAATAATTGCTGTTGTTTTTAAAATTCCTACTAGTTAAATATGCCCTTCATTTGCTCAAAAGGTTGCTGATGTTACTGAGGAGATTTCTAGTACAGTTGGAACCTGTCAAGAAACATTATATATATATATGGGGTTTGTTTATAACATTCATGGAACCTTTAGGTGGAGTTGCTTAATGGGCCTTTATTTGCAAGTCCAAGCTTAGTAGAAGTTTGCCTAATCTTTTTCTGGGTTAGATCTGATAACACATAATCCTGAAGGTGTCATTGTATCCATCCAAAATGGACACTTAATTGCAGAAATATGGCTTAAAATGATGCATGTGAGTGACAGTGAACAGTGCTTATATTTATAATCAGCTTTTTGTTAGATGCCTGTGCCAGTTTGTCATCTTTAGCTGTTGTCTGACAGAAGAAGTAAATGGGAGATGTGTGTATGGATATTCAACAAAGAACATTCCCAGCTCCTTTTATGCTATCTTGGTGCTATCCTTGTGCACTTTTTTTGTTTGTTTGTTTGTATAATCTACTGAATTCCAGCATCCTGGTCTTTTTTATACTTCTTTTTTGCACTGAAAAATGTGAGACTTGCATTTTAGGTCAGTGGATGATTCCTGTGTGTGTTACTTTTTTCTTTATTTACTTACTTATTCTCATAAGTTATCGTTCTAAGTGGGATGTTAACACTGAGGTTGGAAATGCTCTGCACACTCTTAATGGTGGCATTATGTGCTCCTAAATGAGGGAAGAGGATAATGGAATGTTGAAGAAACACACTTTCAGGCAAGAGCACACTTAAAAACTGCTGTGTTATTAGCAAAACCAAGTATAAAATAAGCCCAGAAGATTGATGCTACATAGAAGTATCTGATGAAACATCAACTGGCTTTACTTCTTGATGTAAATTACCCGTGGTCTGGCTGCAACGTGACGTCATGTTTTGAGTGCTTTGGCGTATTTGAAATGTAATAAAGAAACAGAGTATTTAATCTGTTTAAGGTCAGAGTATGGAGGCTGAGTGTGCTGCAGAACTCAGTAGAAATGCATGAGGTGATGGCAATGTTCAGTTGTTGGCTCTCCTGGTGAACTTCAGTACTGTGTGTTTAACTGCCAGTGTTTTTGACAGGGCAAGAAAGATGTCGCGCAAATTTTCAACAACATTCTCCGAAGACAAATTGGTACAAGAACTCCCACAGTCGAATACATCTGCACTCAACAGAATATATTATTCATGCTATTAAAAGGGTATGTGCACTGTGAAGCTTAAATATGCTTTCACTCGAAGTAAGGAGTCTTTAAATTCATGGAGAAGCAGAGAGTTCTGACGTGATTGTTCTTCCTTTGCAATATGCTGGGGGATTTTTATTTTATTTTTTTCTTGGTCTTGGGGTCTGTAATTCCCCTAAGTAAAGGAAAATTGGAGAAATGAATCACCAGCAATTTACTTTTGCATGAAATATAACTGAAAGTTGAGAACTGTTAGTAATCTAAAATATTCTTACTGGGGTAGTCAGACATTTTCCTTCAGTGTAGTATTTGAGCCTATTTAAACTATTCCCTGGTGAACTTACCAAGAGTTGAAGGCTGGGGTGTTTCTTTCCTTTTAACCACTGTCATTTCTAGTTTGCTGGCCTATCCCCTGGTCTTAGTGTGATCTTAGACTTTTTATTCACAGTGGTTTATATTCCTGTAGAGACACAAACACACCAACTCAGACTTGACCAAACAAATAATTTGGAGCACATTGTGCATGCCAGATGGCTGTTTCTTCCTCTAATCTTACATTATTGGGTGTGCTGCATATTCTTATATTGTCTGATGGGCTGGATATTGGAGAGCAGTGCTATACTGAGTATGGGCATGTAGAGCTGTGGTTCTCAAAACATGAAAGAGGATGTTGTTAATATTTTTGTATTAAAATAAGATTTTTTTTTTTAAATTTGAAAATGTGCTCTCTTAATTTCAAAAGGAATTGCTCACATTTTAGTAGCATTAATTAAGATAGTTCTGAAAATTGCAATTCCAGTGTGTTATTTTGGGATAGAAAAGTTCATCAAACATTAATAAACTATTTTAAAATAAGTACAGCTGTTTGAAGTAGTAGTTTTACAATTACCAAACCATATGACTGTAAGATCTACACTTGTCTGCCAGAGGGCCTGCTTTGGGGTTTTCCCCCCTGCATTGCAGCCCTAATTTTGAGGTAAAGCGTGATTTAAATGTTAGAGGGGCAAAAATATTAATTGTGGCATAAGACAAAAGAAATTACAGATTCAGTACTTCTTCAAAATAATTTACAAAACAAGGCAACAACATCTGAGGTGCAGAGAGAGAAAACTGCTTCCTCAGCCTGTTCTCGTTGCTGTGTGACTGAACGAGGGATGTAACAAATTCCTGCTCACTTCTAGCCTGTGTTGTCACCCTTCAGAGAGCATTATTCCCACAGGGATTATTGGAACTCATATTCATAAGTCAGGATGTTTGAAATGGGCATTTAGCTTTAGCAGCTTACATGTTACATCTGGTTACATCCAACTGAGACAGATTTATGTAAATTTACGCTATTGGATGAGTTGCAAAAAGTTCAGTAGATTTCAAATCTCCATGAACGGGGAAGTATTGCACCATTTAAAGTGAAAATGGTTTTATAAGGCAATGTTTTTGTATGGTAATATAGTTAATGCTCAGTATGCACAATGGTACTTTGCTGCTGAATTATTCTGGTGAATTTTAATTACCTTGCAGTGGAATGGGATGAAGGATTCTTTAGGTGGGAGGCAGGAAGGTATATAATGAGTCTGTGACTGCTCCAGAGGCTTGAACCCCACAACATGTGAGCAGCCAGTGATGCTGAAAAGTGGTTTAATGAAAGAGGAGATGTGAATTTATGTCCAGTGTGATTACCCCTTCATGGTTAGATGGATCATTTTATGTAAATTGCTGTCATGTTAAGCAAGTAGATTTCAAGTCAGAAATAATTTACTGCTTTTCCAGATGTCTGCCATCCTACCAATATGGAACAAGAAAACTGATTTTGAGAACAAAGAAAATATATTTATTTAATCTTGTTCCTCCGTTTGTGAAATTCATTTGAATTGGGTGTAATTTATCAAGTAATGGGCAATTATTTCAGTAATATTTTGGAGCAATATTTAAAAATTGAATCCAAGAAAAAAATTACCTCCAACTTTTGAGGTTTTGTTTACTTGATAGTACTGAAAAGTGTAATTAGTGTGGTGTTGCAGTGCTAACTTGTGAAAGTATTTATAAAAAATCTTTGGGTTTTTTTGTTTGTTTGTTTGTTTTTTTATAGGTACGAATCTCCAGAAATTGCTCTAAATTGTGGAATAATGCTTAGGGAATGCATCCGGCATGAACCACTTGCTAAAATAATCTTGTGGTCAGAACAGTTCTACGATTTCTTCAGATACGTGGAAATGTCAACGTTTGACATCGCTTCTGATGCATTTGCCACATTCAAGGTAATTCACTGGCAGCCTTGGAGTTATTATTTCTGTAGTTCTCTTCGTGAACCCAGATGCTGTGTGGGATATTCCTGGGCAAAACAAACCTTGGGAGAGGAGATAAAAAAATAAGATGTGATGCAAATGGTGGGCTGGGCACTGCTCTTCCTTATTTCTCAGAATGCAAGACATGCCTTTAAATATACACCATGTTCCCCAAAATGTTGTTCCAGAGACTAAGATGTAAACTATCCTGCATTACCTGAACACAAGTACCCTTCCATGCCAAGGGCTTTAAATCTGTGCCTGCAACTCCTCAACTGAGCAAACTCCTTTTCATTCCATTACAAACCTGAGTATATTTGATGCTGTAGCTTTGTCTGGGGAAATTTTCTGTTGAATTATGGGAGTGTGAGCATAATATTCATCAATAATAAATAATGGACTTCAACCTTGGTTATGTGTAGTTATGTGCAGAGCACAGCCTTGATCCCTAAATAGCACTTTTCGGTGATAATTCCACAGTCTATTTATCTGTGAGTTAAAGTAACACAGCACAGATCTTGCCTAAGTAATGCCAAGACCCTTAGCAGTGTCCAGGTCACTGCATTCATGTCCTGAATCTCTTTGTTTAATGAAACAGCAGAATTTTCTATTGAATGTCATACATGTACTCACTGTTTAATGTGAATGTCTATGTACTGTATAAATACTTTAGTTAAAATATTTGGTTTGTGCTTTTTTTTGCAGGATTTGCTTACAAGACACAAGTTGTTAAGTGCAGAATTTTTGGAGCAGCATTACGATAGGGTGAGCAGATCTGTTTTAGTATTTAGAACTCTCTAGTGCTGCATATCTTCTTTTGAAGAAATCGGTGGGTTTAATTTCTGCAAAACAGTAAAATTCAGATCAAAACCCTGTTGTTGGATGTAGAAAGGGATAAAAGGAGGAGGAGAAGGCAGCGGGAATGGTGTACTGTGGGTGCTCGGCCTGATTTGTTCGCTAGAGGGAGCCCTTGCCTTTCCCCTGACACCGAACAATCCAGGATATCCCTCTCCCTGCTGCTGGGAGTCCGGGAATTACGGAACAGCGTCAGGTGCCAGGAGCTATCACAGAATGGCCTTAAAGATCATCTGGTTCCACCAAACCCCCCCTCCATTGGCAGGGCATCTTCCACTAGACCAGGTTGCTCCAACCTGGCCTTGAACACTTCCAGGGATGGGGCAGCCACAGCTTCTCTGGGCAACCTATTCCTGTTACAGTTTAAGAAATTATGAGGTAACTACTTTCACCTCATTGAAATCTAAACGTTAAAGGCTCCTAAAGGAGTAAATAGATATTTTTTAAAGGCATATACAATGTTTAACAATAGTGATTTACAGGAACCTATTGAGACTTCGGATTTTATGTTTTTGTTAGGGATTGGCATCTCCACTTTGTCACAATAATTTAGAAGAAGAGTGACTATGACACTTGGAAAAGTCTTAACCCTTCTCTTTATTCTGTGTTTAGTTCTTCAGTGAATATGAGAAATTACTTCATTCAGAAAACTATGTGACAAAGAGACAGTCACTTAAGGTAAGGCAGTTTTATTTTCTTATTAAATGCAAAGTTACAGAATACCTTTAATTTCAGGATGAGTTGACTGTATTTAAAATGGCTTATGTAACTGCCTTCAATAGTGTTTGTTTTCATTTCTCTTATGTGTTAATTCTTGGGATCAACTAGTTAATTTTTGGGATCAACAAATTCTTGGGTTCGACTAACATTATTTGGTGTCCAGCACAGACCCAAGTAATTTCTCTCCCTGTGAAGAAATTGCTCTTCAAGTGTCTTTATTTTTATTGTTTTGTTTTCACTTTCACAAATCTGGACACATTTAAATAATTTTTAAACAAAGATTCACAAGATGTGCCTAGAGCAATACTAATCTCACATTCAAGGGGGTAAGCAATAGTGAATGTAAATGTGATACAGGACTTGAAGCAAAGGTGATCACTGTGGGGAATATCCTTTTAATCCCTTTTGGACAAAGAACATAGCAAAAGGAATGAAAATATTTCTCATGTGAAGTACTAACTTAGGTTTTTGTTTAGGTTTTGGTTTATGGTTTTAAGGCATTGTTATTGGTTCTGAATAGCTTCTGTATAAATGAAAAAAGTAATAAAGTCATGGGGAAAAAAGAATGAAAGACTGTTCTTTCATTTTCATTTCTTAACAAGGGAGAGAGCAAAGGTGGTTTTTCACTTTTCTGAGAAGAAGAAGAAGCTGCATCATTGAAATAAAAGGAAAATGCACCCTGCACTTTGAAATTTGGGACACTGGAGTTCTGTTGTTACTCTATTTACAGCCCAGTGTCAGCTGCTCAGGGTGTTTGAAAGCACTTATGAAACGGTTGATTCTTATGTCCATTGTTAGTAATTTTTCCATCTGGGCTTGTTTTCTGCCTTTAGCTTCTTGGCGAATTGTTATTGGACAGACACAACTTCACAATTATGACAAAATACATCAGTAAACCCGAAAATCTCAAACTAATGATGAACCTTCTACGAGACAAGAGTCGTAACATTCAGTTTGAGGCCTTCCATGTGTTTAAGGTATGTTTAAAAATCCCACCACGAAACAAAAAATGTAAGAATCCAAGCAGAAGTTGTTTAATTAAGTAAACTACTTAGCTGAGCCTCAGTGGAGCTTATCTTAATGTGTGCTAAGTGATTAAAGAGAGTGCTGATGTTTGCCTTTATTATGATCCATCTTTACAGAGAGATATCTTGATGCCTTTTGAAAACTGTTTAGAAACTACTTGGAGGCATCCTGTAATCTCTCTTAAAAAATTTTGGAATTAAGAAGGATGAAGTGCAGTCAAGATGAGGAGGAGTACGTAATTCCATACAAAATCATGAAGCACCCTGGAGTTCAGAAGTGTTTTTATCATGCTGCCTGATCTCTGAAGAACAGCAGTGTTTTAGTCAGGTTACCTAATTTGCCCATTATAACAGATGCCTTCTCGCTTTGCAGCAGACAAGCAGCTGAGAGTTACAACTTGAGATCTAAAACCTTCTAGTGAACAGTGAGATACCATCTGATGCTATATATGATATGAAACCATGCCTTTGCTATAGAATTTAACCATGGTTCAGTGGTTTCTGCAGAGGGTATTGTGGTTGGTCACCTCCCACTGAATTTACTTGGTGCTGGTGTTCAGCTTATGTTCTGATGGAAAAAGGAGTAATTTTATTTTAAAATTTGCATTTACTCCACTATTCTTTTCTGCAGGGTACGGGAATAATTAAAAAATAGTTTTGAGATCATCAATATTTTGTTGGATAGCTTTGTTTTTTAACTTAGCCTTCTGTTTCTCACTGTTTTTCCTCAATGCCTTTTATTTTCTTGCAGGTGTTTGTAGCCAATCCTAACAAGACACAGCCTATATTAGACATCCTTCTAAAGAACCAGACCAAACTTATTGAGTTCCTCAGCAAGTTTCAGAATGACAGGACCGAGGATGAACAATTTAATGATGAGAAGACCTATTTAGTTAAACAGATCAGGGATTTGAAGAGACCAGCACAGCAAGAAGCTTAATCTCCAATAAACCTTTAAAATATTAAACCCAAATTCAGCATTTGCTGTTAGATATTCAGCATCAGGCACTCTTATCGATTCATGAGGAACATTACTGCTAATCTGCTGTTCAGTGAACGGTTTTTGTTTTTCTCTTTTCATTTTTAGTCCAAGTTGAGAAACATAGCTGCTGCTTTCTTGCACAATGTGGACTTTCTTGATATTTGTGTCATTTCAGAATTCAAAGACACTGCTTGTTTTAGGAGTCCTGAAAAGAAAGATTCTAGGTTCGTGAAAGCAAACATATAGATACTAGTTTGGCTTAGGAGAGAAGGTATTAATGTAGTTAAGTAACAGGTTGCATGCTTGCAAATCTGAACAAATCTGTATGTTTGCACTTACCTTGTTTGAGATAATGAGCACAATGTGACCTGTGCATACCTGGCACCATAGTATAAGATTATATGCCTTGATTAAAAAAAAAAATGTGCAGTGCTTTATTTGTAATCAAAGGGGAAATGTATCTAAGATGTGAGCTTACTGGGATAAACAGTTGTCTTGCAAATAAACTGATATTGAAACTTAGCAACTTTTAAAAGAGTGAAATCTCAAGGTTCATAAGGAAAATGTATATATGCCTTTCACTGCTTTATAGAAGTTTTTTTTTTTTGACATGATTTGATTTTTCTGAGACTTGACTTGTAAACTTGGAAATATGTTCTAAGGGTTTTTGTTAATTTTACTTTAAAGGTATTTCAGACAGTAGACCTAGCAGTGACATTTTGCATTTCATTTCAACGATGCTTGCTGGTTTCTTTTGTATATAACTCCTAGGCTGCTCATTTCTTTAAAATATGATTTAATTTGTACAGCAGAGGAATGTTATTGTATTAGTCTGTAACTATTACCTAATATTGAGTTTTGCAAAATGAATGCTCATGTGTAATTGAATACTTCAGATCACATGGAAATGCTGATTTAACAGTCTTAAGTACTGCAGCATTTGAAAGAAAACTCAAACCCAAACAAATCCTTTGTATTCACCTATCTAATGGGGTGCCATCAATTAGGGTAGGCTGAAATAGAGAACTGGAACCCTTTATACTACATTCTTACTGGATAATATTGGCCTTATTTAATTAAACTAGCATTGTGCTCACCAGCTCTGCAAATGGCAAAGATTATGCTAAATTAATATCGATCCCTGTTACTTCTGGGGAGCCTGCAGTGCGTCATTTCTTTCTTACAGTGTATAACTCACTACAATAGTTGTATAAGTGAATGATTTAATTCCCTTCAACTTCAAGAAACTATTTCATAGGTGTCCTAGGATAACAAAATGATTTAATTTCGTTGATTTTGTTCTTTCGTGCTGCAAACTATCAGTATAAAAAAAAAAAACAGAAAACCCAACTGATTTTGCACCATGTTTTTGTTACTGTGACCATACAAAAGGAATCTACTAAATATAGCTAAATGATGTTATTAAAATTGTATCTATCCATCATATAGTAACTCTAAGATCACAACCAAGCAAACTTACGGATTGGGGTCTGAAAGTTCAAATTCTGCATGACTGAGTGATTGTGAATGCTCTAGAAAATGTTTGTTGCTTCCTGTCCTCTTCCCACTGAAAATCCTTTGCAATCAGTGACGTTTAAGCTGATTTGAAAGCCTTCACAAGGGAAGCCCGAGAGCTCCAGAAAACTGAGTGTTTTCACTCAGTGGTTTAAAATTGCTCTTCACGTTATAATTGGTCTTTTGAAAGGTTCTTAACATTTCCTTTGCAAACCAAATCATTTTGCCTACAGGAAAGAAAACAGCTTCCTGTTCCTGGAAATCACAGGCATTGAGGTGGTATTGTAGTTCAGTACTAACAGTCTACTATATTTTGATTTATCGTAGCTGAGTGGAGGAAAACATTATTTGCAAAGTTACTCACCATAAACATGTAAGGCTTCCTCTTTAGAAAGATGTAGACGTGCTAAAGATTTGTATATGTCAAGAAGTGAAAACATTTGGACTGGGGTAGAGGTTACTCTATATTACGCCTTGGAATCAATGGCTATGGTGACTTTTTTAATATGTGGAAATATTTGAATGTTGGCTTTCGAAAAGAAGTTGTATTTAAATTAAAGCTCCTTTGACGTGCTCTTCGTATTAAAAAAAAAACTTGTTCTGGAAGTGGTTTCTTATCTGCTTGAAGGCTTAAGGGTATTACTAAAAGATATTTAAATGCGAGCGGTTTCTTCGTTTGGCTTTTTTTTTTTTTTTTTTTTTTTTTTTTTTTTTTTTTTTTTTTTTTTTTTTTTTTTTTTTTTTTTTTTTTTTTTTTTTTTTTTTTTTTTTTTTTTTTTTTTTTTTTTTTTTTTTTTTTTTAAAGTAAGAGATGTATACAATTGTAATTCTATTTCCGTGGTAGCATTTCATTTCTCCTGAGGAAAATGCGTTTCGTATCCAAAAAAAATCTGGCTGGCCCCATAATTTAAATTAAAATAAAATTTTGAAGAAAAATGTGTGCTCTTTACTGTGTTGCTGAAGAGGATGAGTTTCTCGTGGATGTGTCAGTTCTCCTTTATTGCCTTAAGAGTTTATCACCTGCTCAGCTTTGTCCCTTTGAAATCATTTTAAATCATGAAAAACTCTGGCTTGACAAAACATTTTTAAGGAATTAGGAAAAGGTGCTGTGTTAGGGTTGTAATCAATTTTAATCAATTGTTGGTAGCCTCTCTTGCCTGTTTGTAGTACTATTTCCTAAATCTGTTTCTCTTTGGTATGACCAAGGGCAAAGAGAGGAGGTGCTATTTCCTGCATCGTGCCCAGAGACAGCACCTGTGACAGGGTTAATGGAAGTGATTCCTTGATAATTTTTGGCCCTCCACTTTTCTCTAATTTTCAGGAGCTGAAAGTGTTTGCAGTCGGTAACTCTTTCCTTAGGACATCCCATGCTCTCTGTGCCTTTGAAGCTGCCTCTACACAGGTAACACCCCAAGTTGTGCAGCGTGGCAAACATCAGGAGAGGCTGTTATGTTTTATACAGCGTTCAGGAGCTTTTGAGGCATATTCTTCAGATGGTTTTTTTTTTTAGCAAAATTACTGGAAAAAAAATCAGTTTCCCTTCAGGAACATAATTACCTCGAAATATTTGATCTTTGATACCTCCCACAAGAGGCTGCACCGGTTTGAACCTCTGTAGAAAATGTTAGCATTTCTCTTCCTCACTGGCAGTGAGATCACAGGTTACGGGGGAAGGAGGAATTTACACTTGTAGGCAGACAAGGTGCAAATTTTAACCAAGAGCGGTCAGGTTGGGTACTTGTCTGGGTGTTTGAAGTGGCCCTGGTGGGAGGAGGTGTGGGAAGTGCCAGGAGATGTTGCCCTGACTTCTTAAAATTTGTTTTCCCCACCAGTGGGAGGTGACTGGCTGGACCTGCCGATGAGCTGCCATCTCTATGAATGCCAGGAAGAGTTGTCCCTGGAGCCCGTGGGAGCAGGTTGTGGACAGAGCTGCTTTCAGTAAGTTCTCCTCTGTTGGTGGCATCCCAAGTCATTCCTAGCAGGCAAATTCTGTTTTCCTGTTGCTGCTACCCCATTTCCATCCCCCCATTATTCTGGACCTTTGCTGGCTGCTGTGGTGAATTATTGCCCTGTCTGTGTTGCTTTCCCTCCCATGGCTGGTCACTCGAGCTGCTGCCACCTCGCTGGGTGCAGTGCCTTTATTTTCTGTCATCTTTGTGCTTATTTCTCCAAAGGTTTTGGCCTTTGCAAGGCTGTTTTAAGTGCTGTTTCTTTTCAGCATATTATAATTCAAGTTGATGGTTAGTACCGTAATGAGGATGAAATTATCCTGTTCTTTTGCGTGTTATCTCTTCAAATCAGTGTTCAGCTTAAGTTGAGCACACTGAACTTGTGAAGAGTTGTTTCTGGCACGTGGCATCTGTATTTACAAGTGTATTTGAGCAGATCCAGTGTAAATCCTGTGTGACTGGGGACAGGTCAAAACATTCAAAAAAATAGTAATATATGGGAAAAAGTTGAGAGAGGGCAGAGGGACACATCATTGTATTGCATTCTTTGAAGGAAAATGGCTATTTTGTGGGAGAAGAATGATGGAGAGAGAGTGTTTGCAATATGGAGTGACAGGACAGTGGGGAAGGGCTTTCAGCTGAGAGAGGGCAGGTTTAGATTAAGTATTAGGCAGAAATTCTTCCCTGTGAAGGTGGTGACGCCCTCGAACAGGCTGCCCAGAGATAGAATATCCAAATATCCAAATTATGTGAAAATAGCATTTAAGGATTTACAATAATAATACATTTTAAAAGCATTTTTTCCCTAAAAATTGTTTCTGAAAGAAGTAGGAGAACAATCCCACAAACCAACCCAGTGTATGGGCAGAGCTGTTTTTTTATCATGTTTCTTGAGGCTGTCAGAGCAGTAGGGAAGTCCTTGGGGCTGAAGTTTGTGATGATGCACATGCTGCACGTTTGAGAGCACTTACAACACACAGACACGCAGGTTAGGGCTGAACCTTGGTTGTGAGTCATATCAGTGATGTTCTAGAAAGAAAAATACAAAACAGATAAATTAACGGAGCAGGAAGAGTTACAGACCTACAGAGAAGTGTAAGATGAGTTCACTGGAGCTTGTAAATATCTGCTATGTAAGTTAAAAGCTGAATTTTTTTGCCATACTAGGTTGTAGGCCATCAGAGTGCAATATATGTCATATGGTACACACTAAGCAGACAGGCTTGGAATTTTGGCCTCAGCTTATCTTATACAAGAAACAGATATTTTACAAAGAACAAAGCATGAAAGAGCTGTGACAGGCAGTGGCTGAAAGTGCTCTTGCTTCTTGGTGTTATTTGGGAAGCAGGAACCCAGCTCTCCCATTGCTAATGGCAGCCTTCCTTTCCCTTGTTCACCACGTTTGGGTGAAACGTACAGGTGGTGACAAAAATAAATATTCAAATATCACACAAGTCATTCCTTACTGCTACTTTGTAATTTTAACAATGTTGCCCCTTTATGTCTTTCATACCAGAATAA